GATTTCAAAACTTTTCAACAATTTTTCGCTAATATCTCGAAAACTAAACCTTTCCGCGAAATTTGTATATGAACAAAATTGTTCAGAATCATGTCCGTGATAAGATATTAAAAGCGCACTAAAATCGAGAAAAGTTTATTTCAAAAGTTACCGGATTTTTTGCAATAACAATACTTTACAATTGAAAAATGAAAAATTTTTTGATAATGGTACCAATGGGGAGTCAGAACCTAACAGATGCAAAAGGTTTCGTTCCGATCGGTGCATCCAGCTAGGCGTAATCGGCGGGCACACATAGGGGGAAAAAAAAAAAAAAAAAAAAATACTGATCGAATTGAGTAACCTCCTCCTTTTTCGAAGTCGGTTAAAAAATAAATAAATAAATTGTAAGAATAAGCTTAATTTTTAATTTAGCTAATCTTTACTTTAGAGCTCAAAAATTATGAATTTTTTTTTAGTTTTTGATGCGTAGAATACAAACATTCAAGTTTTAATGTTATTAGAAATCCAGCGGTTAAAAAGTTACATGTATGTCAATTTGAGCAATGCTGACATATTTGACTGGCCGGTTAGTAGAGAAAGCCATTAAAATGATAAAACATGTTTTTTTTATTATTAATTGTGAACACATGATACTTCTTTTCCTTTATAAAAAAAGGATATTACAAAATCACTTTTACGCATAATAAACATAGCTCAATCAAGTTATAGGTAGAAGTCAATGTAGTATCACGTAGTCTGTGACTACGTTTCCATCGAGGGTCCAAATCGGGTCAGAGTCGGGTTAGAGTTAAGTTGCCTTGCCTGTTTCCATGGGATCAGAGTTACGTTGGGGTTGAAGTTGGGTTGAACATTACCAACTGCACAAAGTCAACTACCATATTCTGACATGTAAAGGAGAGCAATATTAATTTTACAATATCAAAATAACATACAAAAATTATTTCTCAGATTACAAGATCACCAACAAAAAGTAATAGTAACCTCTTCTACACCGATTAATACAGCATGTGATACACAATGCAATTTGGGTTTGTTATGTTGGCAACACGAACTCGACTCTTGTCGTTTCCACCGAACCTCAACTGAACGCTACCCTAAAATTTTGTAGGGTAGAGTTCAACTAAACCTTTGGCGTTTCCACCGTACAAGCGCTGACCCCAACCCGACTCTAACCCGACTCTGACCCGATTTGGACCCGCGATGGAAACGTAGTCACAGACTACGTGATACTACATTGACTTCTACCTATAACTTGATTGAGCTATGTTTATTATGCGTAAAAGTGATTTTGTAATATCCTTTTTTTATAAAGGAAAAGAAGTATCATGTGTTCACAATTAATAATAAAAAAAACATGTTTTATCATTTTAATGGCTTTCTCTACTAACCGGCCAGTCAAATATGTCAGCATTGCTCAAATTGACATACATGTAACTTTTTAACCGCTGGATTTCTAATAACATTAAAACTTGAATGTTTGTATTCTACGCATCAAAAACTAAAAAAAAATTCATAATTTTTGAGCTCTAAAGTAAAGATTAGCTAAATTAAAAATTAAGCTTATTCTTACAATTTATTTATTTATTTTTCTAATATTGAAATTTGCATTTTTGTACTCTACACACAAAATGTATTAAGTGGTAAAAATAAGATCAACAATTTTATGTGCCTCAAAGCAAGATTTAATCCTTATACATAAAAGAAATGAAAGATTGATTTAATGTATGTACAGGTATGTATGTTCAAAGTATGTACAAAAAATTAATAAACATCCGAGTTTGCAGTAGAAAACATCTGTATCAAAGCAAATACTTAATTTAACAAAATAAATTTAAACTACATGAAGCAAGATACATGAATACGCTAATAAAACCATCATTAATTAAAAATCCGTTTTTAGCAAAAATGCACAATACATGTTTCAAAATTAAATAAACACAATTTATATTGCTCGGCAGCTTTTTAATTATTCTAATTTGGAATTTTCAATAAAAGGTCTTTATTGATATATTGTGCAGAACATGTATGCATTTACAGAATTTAAAGAAAAGATGCAAATTTGTAACTTTGGAAATGTCCTATGCTTTTATAGATAAAACAGTGCAATATATTTTAATACCGAGCTATTCTATTAAGCTTAAATTTACCTTACTGTATTAAATAATACTTTGTTATAGACAAATTTTCAATGTTTCTCAAATACCACTAACAAAAATGCAACTGATTTTCAAAATTTGAACCAAGAAATTTGTATGAATGAAGTATCCGTAACGTATTTTATTTATTAATTTCATTTTTCCTTTTGATTTATTTTGTTCTATTCTGTAGATTGTGTTGAATTGCTAACAAAATATTGCTTACTTTCATTAACACTAACGGTAAAAAATTTATAAATTGATAAAACATTTATTGTTTTAACTGTTTGAGTGCGGAGGAGCGCGATAGCGCTCCTGTGCTCCTGCTTTTTTTCTCAGTTCGGTGTGAATTCAAGCTGGTTGCACTAGCGAAGCATATGATTTATCAGTTTACAAGTAAAAATAAGTTATCTACTTTTATTAATATTTTTTTTTATATATACCCAAACTCATCTGCATTTTTGGCATATGCTCACAAAATTTATGCCGCACTCAAACGGTTAATGTCGATAATCTCCCTTAATTTAACATATTTTACGCATTAGTATATTAGCGTCAAGCCGTGTGCAAAGGTAGCACATGTGTCAGGGTCATCGTACCCCAGATTTTGACCCGGTTCTCAGGGGTCTTGGGATGACAATAATATAAACTCATGTCCGTTATGGAGCTAAGGATTGGTGATAACTGATATCTAGGGACCGCGACGAGGTCGATGCCTTCTTTTTCGAGGATCAAAAAAGTGCGTGGCACGTGCACAGAGATTAGGGTATTCTAGTAGGATCTGGTCACAGAGTGGGGAGGATATTGCATCCTTCGGACCTTGAGAGACAGCAAAGCACTATAAAGACTTTTATAAGTTAAAGACCATTTCCTTTTATTAATTGAAGTGTGATGATATTACTTATAATTATGAAGAAAAAAGTCCCCATTGTGAAATGAGTTGAGCAAAAGTTTATTCCCCGGTTAACAGGTAAATGATGTAAATTAGACTGTAAACTCTATTCGAAATAAATATGGAAATATACAAATTGAAGATAAAATTATAAACCAACTTATTTAAATCCCTCGCGTCAATCAATCTTAATATTTAGAGATATGAAAGTCTTTAGAAATCCAAGAATTATGAAAAATGCTAAAGGTCTAAGAATATAAAATTTAGTGTATTTAAAATAAATAAATATATAATTTATTTATATAATTATGCATTTCAAATATTGTCAGTTTTATATAATTCATTCATTTCTTTCTATGTAGGGATACATTAATCAATATTTCTTATATTCTCTTGTTCCTGTATTC